AAGCCTAGTTTGGTCGCCATCCCACGCACCGTTTGTGATGGGTCAGTCTTCACCAGGGTCCTTAAATTCTCGTCCTGAATTACTTGTAGGTCGACAACTTCAAGGCTTATCTTCGAGGCTACAATCTACGGAACAAAATTTTGCGAACCAACGTCCAACAGTGCGTCCATTTATACCTACTACTATTCTCAAATGACTGGTTAATTTTTCGGGATATTTCGGCAGCGCTTTGGTTCAATTTAAAATCCTACGAATTCAAATTGTTGCTTAACGGCATCATAGTGGCTCTCAAAAGAGTCAAAAAATTATAATTTTGAAAAAATGAACAGCAGCAATGAATGAACAATAAAATTCTCTATCGATCAATATACAGTGTGTACAAGTCAAATTGTAAATTCATTATTTCGGTTACTGTACATATTAAAAAAAAACAAAACACATCAAATGTTAATTATAATTTGACATTCGTCAACGTTAAAATGCCACCCCTACCTTCAACCCTCTTCGAATGACAGGTCCAACCCCCAATTTTTTAAATGGGAAGTATAGGTTTGTGATATATCGTTTGAAAGGTCTCTTCATTCTCTATTCAAAAATGTCATTGCTCTCAAGTTCATTGCAATAATTAGGATAAAATAAATTAAAATCATGTGGATACCGAAATTCGATAAAATCAAATCTAAAAATCAAAAACTAAAGTGTAATGCAAAACCTAATGAAATTAGAATGCGAAAAAGAACTATATATGTTAACGAAGTAGATATTCAAAATGTTCACCGCGAGCGTCTAGGCAACATCCTAATATCAAATAAAACTGTTTTCTAACATTATTTAACATATCAGGCGTGACCGACGTAATCGCAAGCGTTATTCGTTCTTTTAAATCATTACAATCTGGAGGTTCAATTTTGTACACATTACTCTTTACAAATCCCCATAAAAAAAATGTAATGATGGAAGATCAGATGATCGCGCTGGCCATTCGATTGACCCTCGTCTCCCTATCCACCGATTAGGAAATGTTGAATCAAAGTATTGCTGGACATTAACTAGGTAATGTGGTGGTGCTCCATCCTGCTGAAACCATATCGTATTCACTGGAACTTAAGGGTTTCCTGGATCAGGATACAAATTTGCTAAACTTGGTATGACATCATTTTGAAGTAGTGCCAAATAGTTATCGCCATTCAAGTTGCCCTTAATGAAAAAGGGACCAATGATATGGTTTCACACAATCCCTGCTCAAACATTAACCTTTTGAGGGTATTGCGTGTGTTCTTCTCTCAGACAGTGAGGATTTTGCGTTGACCAGTAGCAGCAATTTTGCCGATTAGCATGACCGTTAAGAGACAAAGTACACTCATCAGAAAACATAACATCTTCTAATTAGATGATATTGGTATCCAACATGTACATCACTTGCTCACAAAATTTTTTTTTTTTTCATCAAAATCGTCTTTCATGAGCTCCTGAGTAGGTATCATTTTATGAGGATGCATTTTACTTTCTTTTAATATGTTTACTCAAACTCAAGCATCACATCTAATTTGAGTTCACCACTCATCGTATTGGCGCCTCCTTTTTTATCTGTCCCACATGACCAATCTCGCGAAACTGCTTCTCTATTTTGTTTATTGTTTCTTGAGATATGGACGGTAAATTAGGAAATTTTTAATGAAATAGACGAGCTACTTCCTGTTGTATTCGGGTTTTATCTCCGTAACGAATCATTTGTAAACCTGTTATTTAATGCATTTCCGTTAATCTAACCATTCGTCAGACTTGAAATTAACGAACTTCAAACTTAAATCGAAATACAACTAATGTTGTGACATACAAAACAAGTTGTCAAGGCGTTTTAAAATAACGTTGCCACGGAAATTATTTACAGTTTTTTAAAGGATACATCTAAAAAGAACATTGCTATGATACTTGCTTACTTTCTTAATATCAATACCCCAACATGAAATAAGTTTTGAGTGTATTTTATCGAATTTCGGTAACCATATGATTTTAATTTATTTTATCTCAATTGTGTTGTAATACACTCAAAAGCGATAACATTTGTGAATAGAGAATGAAGAGACCTTTCAAATGATATATCACAAGCCAATACTTCCCATTTGAAAAATTGGGGGTTGTACCTATCATTTGACGGGGATTGAAGGTAGGGGTAACATTTTTCCGTTGAAGTATTTCAAATCATAATTCAAATTTGACGTCTTTGGGGATTTTGTTAAAATATGTACCATAACCGAAATAATGAAATTATTCCATTTGGATTTACACACTGCATACCTAAACACAGTAGAATGGATTTTTATTGAGATATGGAACTACATAAACAGATGACAATAAAACAGACAAAACTACGCTCTGTTCATTTGAGCAAAGTAGTGCTCCAAAACATTATCATGCATAGTGCAAGTGATCTTCCAGACAAGGCTGCTTGTACAGAGTCGCACTAAGGAACAACCGGTTTGTTTTTTTATAATATGCAGCTGGTATGTGAAAATGTTTTAGGTGGAGTGTAGGAACACAAATAAGCAGTTTCTTCAGCCGTATCAGTACTTGAAATTTTAAAAATTTTAAACTTCAAAATACCTTTAATATACATTCCATAAGCGTTCGAACGTAACTCTGACACTGTACAATGAATTTCTCAAGCCGATTGCAGTTAAGTCTAATGGGCCAGCGTGAGGATGCTTGTTTATTTCACCTAATAGATAAAAATGTGTGTGGCGATCATACTGTGATCACGTATCTATCTTTGTTTGGGTTGCTTGTTCGCTGAATAGATATAGTTTACATAATGCTTCTCAAGGTACGCGCATATTGTGAGAAATCTAAAGTTTCCTCTTGAATTCGACAAGCTGTTTCTAGTCTCTTGTTTTCAGAAAATAGAAATATCATTCCTCCACACCTGAGTTTTATAAAATCAACATGAACTACTTCAAAGTACTGAAAAAGGTGCTATTTCCTTTTCATTAAACCCATCTACTTACATTTATTCATGTGGCGAAATGGGGCTTGTGTCACCATAAATTTCGTATTTTACGTGCGTCGTCAATGGAATTAACATTTCCGATTTTTCATCTCGCTAGTTATCGTAATATGCATGTGTAATCCGACGTTTCTTCGATTTAATTGCCGGAGTGCACAGAAGCAGTTTCAAGCTGTTCGCAGCAAGGTGCATTTGTCGGAATTCAGAGATGAAATATGCAAAAGTTGTGTAACTAGTAGAAATGTAATTTGTCGAGCTGACTTTGTTGATGAATTATCAGCTTTCAGTATACGGAATAGCGAATATGCACAGAACGAAAAACTTACCTAATTATAATGTAAATCAACATTAGAATGATGTATTTGGACATCAATTTTTAACCGATGCTCTAAATGATTGGCATAAGGCATAGTTGTTGATTGTTTAATAAAAAGCATAAATAGCTTAAATACCACGTTCATTGAAACAATCATCATGAACATCGACTGTTGATCATAATATTAACGCTTTTTTGTTCATTAACCAATGATTTAATTCCTTATGGCAATAATATAAACATCTATTTTATGACCCAGAGTTCATTGTTTAATTACTGATCAGCATTGGCCCAACGTTCAAAAGAATAATTTTAATGGTTGAAGACATTGTTACATGGCCTAAAATAATTCTTCTATCATCAAGACAGCGCTGGTATTGATGTTTTCTCGCTACATTGATTGATCAAAATTATTCCTATTACTAAAATATTTAAACCTGTATTTTATTACTGAAAATAACAACTTTTGATCACTAGTGAACATTGATTTAATATTCAAGAACATTATGATGATGCTCGTGGACATTCATTATTGATATTCTAAATGTATAGGGTGTTGCAAAAATTAGATTAGATTACACTTTTTCCCTGCTATATAATGGTGTTTTCAGATTTGTTATCCGACGTTTCGTCTTCCACCCACCATAATCTACTTTATTTTTTCTTATGGGCGCTTCATTGAATTCTTTCTGTTTTGAAGAGAACTGGATTTCACCTTTTCAATGATGTATCATAAGTTATCAATCTTTTTAGAAAATTTGGAGATATTGGAAAACATTAATCCTTATCATAATAGGCTTTGACTTTGATGTTTCTTAATTTGACTTTCAATTTGCTACACTCAATGACATTTTGTTATTGTACAAGTCATTGAATTTTTGGTGAAAAATGGTTTTCACGAATGAATAAAAAAAGAGATATGATACAAATTCATTACAAATACGATAGAAACAGTGTTAGTTAGGACATTGGAAATGTATTTAAACTTGTATCCCGAAAGACGACAACCACATCGAACTATGTTCAAGTTATTGGATCAAAATCTAACCGAGTTTGGTTCATTTGAAAAGCCGAGGAAAAAAAAAACGAAGACACTAAAGAAAATTTGATAAATGAGGTATGTATGAAGTAAGTTAGACATTGTGTCCTTTTCAATGAAAATTAATAATTTGCAGATAAACTTGAACCCAGGGAAATCTACACATCAAATTTCCTCCGAAACGAATATTCAGGTGATCCCAAAAGGCGATTAGAATTTTGTAATTGGCTAATAAAAAGACCTGATTTTCCCGTTTTCCTATAAAATGTAATTTGGACAGATGAAAGTACTTTTACGAATTGTGGGATATTCACCCGAAATAACGAACAGATTTGGAGGATAAACAACCCCAGGCAGTTCCGAGAAATTTGACCTCAAGTGCGATTTAGTATTAACATGCGGGAAGGAATTTACAAAGATAGAGGAATTTACAAAGATAAAATTTTGGGTCTTCATTTATTTGACGGAATTCTGGATGGAGGAACCTATCACCAGTTTTTATTGTCGAATTTCGAAGGCTATTTGGATGGTGCTTCACCGCACACTACCAGACGAGTATCTAATTACAGAACGGTTTGGTGATGAATGGATAGGAAATAATGGGTCGGTGAGGTGGCCAGCAAGGTCTCCAGACTTGAGTGTCATGGATACATTCCTAAAGGGGTACCCTGAAAAAGAGAGTTTATGGTCAGAGGGAATATCGAAATATTGAGGATCTTCAACACAGCATTGTTATTAATCGTGCAGTGAATAATATATAAAGAAGGGCACAGTTGTGTTATCATGAACAAGGCCAGCATTTTCAGCATTTGGTGTGATTGACGTTTGTCTTTACATTTTAGTTACTTATTGTTATTTGTTTCAAAGTTCTATTTTCATTGAAAAGGACACAATATCTAATTTACCTCATACATACCTCATTTATCAAATTTTGATTGTTGATTCTGTCTCCGTATTTTTTCATTGGCTTTTCAAACGAACCAAACTCGGTGAGATTTTGATCCAATAACTTGAATAAAGTTCGATGTGGTTGTCGTCTTTCGGGATACAAGTTTGAATATATTTCAGATGTCCTAATACTATTTATATCGTATTTGTGATTTTTCAAAGAGAATTAGGGTCAATTGCCAATTGCCCCAGAGCCCATTCAGCTAACACACGCCGTTGTCTATGATCGTTCACCTTCAATTCCTGGGTCAGTTGAATTTTGTACGGGTGCAGGCTCAGGTCACGACGCAAAATTCGCCTAGGTGTGGTCTGGGAAATTCCGAGTTCTTGCGACGAGAAAACGACTGCCTCCGATTCACCTGCACACTCTCACAGACAGCAGTGATGTTGTCGGTAGATCTTGCGTTTGGCCGACGTACGGGTGTTGGTCGACTGTTGGTTTACTGAACCAGTGGACTCAAATTTATTCACCACATTGCGGATAGTCCTCTCGATAGTATGATTATGGCGACCGCAGAATGTGCTACGTCTGTTCGGGCGCTACGTTGCCCGAACAGACACCATTTTGATGAAACAATTTTATTATTTGCACTTGTTGTTGCATGCTCAATTCGTCCATGGTGAGTTGGCAAAACAGACTGAATAAATGACAACTTATTTGACAGATGTGTAGCTTCGTTATCAATTATCAAAGTTCGGAAGTCCTCCTTGAAAGACCCTATGCAATTAAATAAAATCATCCTCTTCATAGTTTTAATAGTTACTCCGCTACTCCAGACGGAGACAATTCCAACAAATCAAAAATTATGCAAATCGGTCCAGTAATTCTGGAGTTATAAATGATAAACCAGAAAATAGAAACTTTCAGAGTATTTTTCGAAATCAATGTTTGCATTTGCAAGCCGAAAACATCCGTGAAAACAACGGAGTTACAGAAGGTTCAGGGAAATCACGATTCTCAACCAATTAATTAAAGCACACCAGCGGTTCAACGAACTAGATATAGAATAAAATTTCTACCGCCCAGACCTCAAACACACTCAATGAAGAACAATTGTTGTAATGGCTTTCGACTGTTTTAAAGGCTATTAAAGTAATCATACGATATAAATCTATTTCAAAAATGACATAAGTGCCACGCAGGCACAATCCGAGCCGTAAATTTGTCACAACAGTGATTAAATCGTATATAACGCTTGGTTATTATTTATCTGCTGAACGAAAATATTCCAAGAGAAAATATGTGGTTTTACTTATCATTCAACTGCACCAGTTTTTTATGGTAAATAATCATAAGGGAAAATATAAATAAACATCAAAAATTATTGAGCTCGAACAATCTATTGATATTATTGAAATCGAATCCTTGGTAGAGCGGCGCTCTCCCTTATTTACAAAGTTACGGCCCTTCAAAGTTCAGAAAAGTGCCAATTAAGGAGAAATAATGTGTAAAGGTGACCTAGTGAATAAATGCTTGTGTTTTTAAATAGTTTATCTCGTGAGAAAGAAGGCTGAAAAGTTGCCCTTTTCTGAACTTTGAAGGGCCGTAACTTTGTTAATAAGGGAGAGCGCCCCTTTTTTCTTTCGGATCCATAATCTACGCATCAAAATACGTAAGTACACTCAAAAATGTTTTCAAAATCACCGGGTGCCCTCAAAATGAATATTTACCGGATATTTTATGAGTTCCATAAAATGTCTAGATAGTGGGGTTCTACAAAGAACAGTTTTACGTTCCCCCTATTTCTTATCTACATAAATGACTGGATACGCCAAATAACTGGCCTTTATACGCAAATTTTTGATACCTTGAGTTACAGCATTGCAATTTTCGTAGAAATCTCTATTTCTGTGATTCTGATGGCCTTCCTCTGATGATTGAATATTATTATCAACATACACAAATAAATGCACTCAGCAGAGAATGTATCTATGCAAACACTAAATATTTTTTTAAATCAATTCGGAATTTTTGTTGATTAAAATTCGGTAGCTCATTGTAAAATACTATACCTTTATAATAAATAGAATTTAGCCCAATATTTGTTTTCATTTTCATTAATTTTAGATTGCCTGAATATCTTAACCCATTAAAGCCCAGCTAATTTTTTTTCTCATATATTCAAAAAAATCGTTAGTTATTACTGTTTTAAGTATAAAAATCTGGTTGCAACATATATCTTTCATTGTCTCATCGAGGAAGTGCTTTTTTTTTAAGTATGATATATCATACGTTGGGAAGTGATGAGTACTACTTATGAAGAAAAAACAGGAATTATTCTTTATTCAAAATCATATGAAGAATATTTCTTATACAAAGAAAAACAAGGCTGAATGTAGAAAATTCACTTGGCATGATAATTTCTGAAGCATTGGGCAGGATGTAGAGCAATATTACATTTGATACAGATGAATTTTGCACATTTGCCGCAAAAACCCAACGACGTTGCGTTTCAATCTTATCAACGATATGCTCTATTCTGTCATATCTCACTTCATTCAAAACAGCTTTTGGAGTTTTTGGTTTTGGCCCATGACGATATTCAGGACCCGTAAGAATGGCAAGTACAACGCGTCGTATAAACTGCAGAAGAGATATTTTTCTGTCCACATATCTGTAGAGCATCCACATATTTACAATGGAGCCATTCAAACAAAATCTAATGTGAGGCCAGTACCATTTTCTGGATCTTATTCTTATTCGATATAGTCCTCGTTGACCATCAAAAATATCCACCCCACCCATGCCATGGTTGTATGAATTTATCAATGATGGCTGTTCCACTTGCACTGGAGCTCTTTCCTTTTTAGACCAACGGTTGCAGGCCCCTTTTGATAGACACGTTTCTGAATCCACAATGTTCGTTGCGATTGTTACCTGGTTATTGTCATTCCAACGTATAAGTGTTATGTTGTTCGCTGTATCGGTAATAGCATGTGTTGATCCTCGCTTTTCTTTTTTGAGGTCTCTGAGTGGTGCCTTTTCTATCCTGTCTGATCTGATTGTTCCAATACAATTCAAGTTATATCCTCTGAAAGTATGTAATAATGGCAAAGAAGTGAAATAATTATCAATGTATATAGTACTTTGCTCTGGAAGGTAGTTCAAACATAGATTCTCGCAGACACTAGATCCCAAGGTTTTGCCATGAAGCTTTTCTCCAGCCCCACAATAAGGATTGAATTTCAAGAGATATCCTTCAGAAGTTGCTAGGCACCAGAATTTGAAGCCATATCTTATCGGCTTGCCCTTGATGAATTGCTTCATGCTGTGATGGCCATAGTATGGCTCCATTGCCTCATCAACCGAAAAGTTTGAACCTAAGGGCTGGAAGATATTCTGGGAAACTCTATTTACATGATCAACTAATGGCTGAATTTTATATATTTTGTTCTTCTGATCAATTTTATTATTATCGTTGAAGTGAAGATATCGATGGATGAGCTCAAATCTATTTCTAGACATACTATTACTGACCAAATGATTGAATGTATCTGGTTGTGTTTCCCAGTAAAGCCTTCTATTTGGCACTTTACAATACCCGGATAAGAACAGAATTGCAAAGTACTTGTATAACTCATCAGAAGATAATCTAAATTCATGATCACCTTTGAAGGCTGCATACTTTTCACTTTCATCGCAAAAGAATTTCATGAATTCTTCATCATAAAAATTTTTGAAAATATCGATTGGTTGCAAATTTTCATCTCTAATTGTTTGAACAAAGCTTGGTTCTGGTGTAACGGGTAATTTTGATTTTTCATTTCTTGTTTTCAAGTTGACTGTATTCCACTGACGTTTTTTGATGTTTCTTTTGATTTCTTTCTCTTTCAACTCCTTAGCGAATAAAATGGCTAGCGGTTTATTATCTTCCGAAGATTCACTGTCGGATGTTTCAAGGTCGGTATCACTAACATGTTTTTGTGGCAGTAAATTTAGTTGTGTCTTCACATTCTCATCATCAACGCTAAAAACCTCCATAGGTTCTCTGAGCACTCCCTTTCCAATGCTTCGGATGGTACCTACATCTTCTTCGTCGCTCGGAGCATCGTCTTTGTCACTATCGGCAGCATTGTTGGGAGGAAGAAGAATTAGCTCCAATTTCTGAGCATGTTGCACTTCCTCATAGTCTTCGTCATCAGAACTTAATTGTTCAAGATAATTTAGCAACTCTTCTGCATCTCGAGGATCTTCTGGGTTATGGAATTGTTTTCTGTAAAAAAGGAAAAACTAGTCACCAACGCCCAACGTATGATATATCATACAGTGAATAAGAATTGAAAAAAAAGGAATAATTTTACCGAGTTGTCCCATTGCTCTTAAGGATATTACTTCTTAGTATTTACATTATGTGTATAGCTTATAAAAAATACTCTAGGACATAATTTGCAAGAATTCCACCGAAAAGAACTTACCTCAATGGCATTTTAGAACACAGTCAGTAAAAACTATCACAAAAACAACTGTAAAATCCAAATTTCACAAATCTCGCTCAACAGGCTTTGAATATAAATGAAATAAACCTTCAAAAACAGGCTCTGACAAGAACTGGTGCAGAATGCACTATATGACAATGTTTACTTAACCTCAAATGCACATGTGTTTTGTGTATGATAAATCATACGGTGGGCGTTAATGGGTTAACGGATGGCTGTGTTGGTCACCATTGATTTTGGAAGTCAGATTTGAGGTATTCAAAAAACACTTCGTGAGATTTTCAGTAAACAGTTTTACAAAAACGCAACACGTGTTTCGCCATACAATGGCTTCTTTGGGCGAAACACGTGTTGCTTTTTTGTGAAACGGTTTAGTGAAAATCTCACAATAGAGTGTCGGGCGGAAAAAAGACACGCCAGAAGAAGCCATTGTATGGCGAAACAGGTGTTACGTTTTTGTAAAACTGTTTAGTGAAAATCTTAGAATGAAGTGTTTTGTGAATACGTTGATTATGGATTTTAAACAAGTATCGGCTAATTCCATCATATAGGTATATCAGATTTGAGGTTTTGAATTTATTTTTGAAGTAATGAATGAAGGTACATAATTAGAATTTTTGTGAGAATGACAAATCCAATAGTTTTTTTGGTTTATACAAGTTGACTGCAGGCTCCTTGTAGTTTAACTCGAATATACACTTTATATAAATTTTCTGAAGTTTTTCAACTGGTTCCTATAAGGAATATGTTGCCATACCCCATACTGATATGATAAATTGAATTTTGGAATATACTAATGAACCGCCGAATGCAAGGATAACTGGGAAAATCCTGGGACCTCGTGGAATAGAAATGGAAACGAGATCACACAGACCTCTACTCCATTGCTATGAAATGAACCGGTCATTATTCTTACTTTAGCTTATCCACTGCGGTTGCAAAAAAGCAGCTGTACATGCAGAAAGTCAGATAATGGTGGTTCAGCTGGTGGAGATGGTTGAAGCTAGTGACATGAAAGTCAATATAGATGGAATAACTGAAAGAGCCTCATCCTTCCAAAGGATGCAGACTTTGCGATGACTAAGGTGAGATACTATGAATATTCTAATATACCTGTTCGTTCCAATAATCTGTTCTTGTGCGTGACACCTTCGACTAACGGGTAGAGTTATAATTTTCATCTCAACTTGCATATCTGCTAGGTACACCTGGTTCTTCAAGAAGTATTTTCAAAAGAATACACATTTTCAAAGTTGCCTTCGAATTTTTGAATGAGTGAAGATATCATAAAACGTCCAATTAGAAGGTTCTGTGTCTGTAGAGTATGGAGGGTGAGTGTAGGCCCGCAACACTTAAGCCACATGTGACCCATTGTGCATCCTCCCGAGGAACTGTCCTAGGTCATCGTCCATCCTGTCCTTTCCAGGAAGGTGGACAGGTCTCTGGGAGACATCTCCTTTATATCGACAGGTGTAGGCCAAGATTCACCGAACATACACTCTATTATTGACGGTAATTCCGGACATTCGCATAGGACATGCCTGACGGTGTCGTCTTCCGGTTTACACATACTGCATAGAGGTGTGTCCACTAGCCTCATATTTTGGAGTTGTTTCCTTAGTTAACAGTGGCTAATCAGAAATCCTACTATTAAGCGTAGATTTTTCCTAGTTATCGCCAGATATTTCTTCGGCGCCAGCTTCCCAGAGTCGCCCAGATGATCCTGGCAATATTGCATCCTTTGATTTCATCTCATTTTTTTAGGAATTGAGCATGGGTGTGACGTTTGGCTAGTTCTGTAATCGAAGTCATCAGGCCGTAGGTGCCACTGGGTCTTAAAATTCTTAGTCCAGCCGCTTCCTTGGCTAAAGAGTCGGCAATGTGATAACCTTTACTCCTGTCGTGCCCTTAAATCCACCTCAGGATAATGTTTTCAACCAAGGCTTTGGCTAAATCTTGGTGGCACTCTAGTACTATCCCTGATGTAACACGTTGTCTGTTCAAGGCTAATACGGCTTGTCTGATGCCAGTGCAGATCGTTATGTTTTTGCCAGAAATTCCTTTCCTGGTTATTTTTTGTGGCGATTGAGATACCAGCCAGTTCTGTTTGAACCACGCTGGTATTTTTTCCCATTCTTAATCCTCAGGCTTAGTGATCTGGAGTACACTCCACATCCTAAGCCTTCTTTGGTTTTTGAGCCGTCTTTATATACGCGTATTGCATTTGTAGCATCTGACTCTGTGTTCTGTTTTATTTGTATCATATGTATATGGGTTCAATTGCATCACTGGTTGCCTGCAACAGAGGTTGCGTAGTAAGCGCTTCTTGCCATAGGCTCAGCCTCAATAGATCCATTCCTACTTCGAGGTTTACACCAGCCGTGCGCAATCGTAACATGGCCATTAACGCAACCTCCTTAACGTACAGGTCCAGAGGGGTCAGATCAGTAATTAATTCCATTGCCGCGGTTGGTGTTGTTCTCATGGGTCCTGTGATGTTTAAATAAGACAAGCGCTGAATTTGATATAATTTTTGAATAGCCGTTGCTTGTAAAACTTTCGGTCCCCATGCAATGGCTCCACACGTTAACATCGGTCTTATTATTGCAGTGCAGAACAAGGTGACCAAACGGGGTGAAAGACACCATGCGCGTCCCACTGTCCTCCGACATTGCTCATAAGCCACATATGCTCTTTTTGTTCTACTATGTAGGTGAGAGTTCCATGTTAGCTTCCTGTCGAGGAAATTACCAAGGTATTTCACCCCTTCAAAGAAGTTCAGTTTTTGAAGATTTCGGGAGGCTTTAAGCCCGATTAACTTCTTTTCCTGGTGAAAAGGACCATCTCAGTCTTCTTGGGATTGATGAACAGTGAGTGTTCCTTACACCATGTTTCTATTAATTTAATCCCATTCTACTCCATGTCCTCCCTGTGGACATCCCCTCATGAATAGTCCTCTCACTGTGATGTCTTCTACATTGATACGTATTGCTCTACTAGAGAGCTTCTTGAATATTCATTATCCTACTACCAGAGGTACATTCCTGTAGTGTAGTTGCTGGGTAATTGTTGGGAAGATTGTTTTATCAAACGTTCCCTCGATATCTATGAATATACCCAGGGTCGATTCGTTGTTGTCCAATGATCTTGCGATTCTGCCAACTACTTGGTAATTAGAGGGTTATTGAAATTGATAAGTTCTATAAAAAATGTTTTTGACAACTTCGGGAGACATCGCAATACTTGGTTTATATACGGTGAACAAAATACCTCTTTGAAATTTTGGAATATTTGCTATAGTTCCGGAAATATTTCATTTTGCGTACCAATGATTGGAAATATCCAAAATCGTCTTGGGACCAATTATGTTCGTTCCGACGATTCCAACAAAAAAGCCAAATGTTGTCACATTGTGGAAACGATACGTGATAATTTCTGCCGATCGTTCAAATCGCGGGACACCCACTTTTCGAGCTTCGTGACTTTTCCAATACGTTTAAAACCAACAAAAACCGCAAGGGAGCTGACGCCCAGTTCCCACGCACCGTTAGTGAAAGATCAGTTTCCATCAGGGTCATCAAATCCTCGTACTGACATCCTTGATTTCTGTAGATCGATACTTTGGAGCTCATCTTCGAGGCTAAAATCTCCGAAACAAAATTTCGCAAACCAATGTCGAATGATGCGTTCATTAACATTATCATTGCCAAATGTATGGTTGATTTCTTGGACTATTTCAGTAGCACTTTGGTTCATTTTGAATTCGTAGAGAAAAATTGGTCGAAAAGGGTCAAAAATATTGAAAAAATTCTCAATCGATCATTATACACCATGATGAAGAAGGGTGAATATTTATTGAGATACAGATGTTATTAAGACTGACTAAACTTTTGAAACGGCCTAATGATTCACCTAATAATTCAAACATAGTTCATTTGAGTCGGTGTTATATCTACGGGTCAAGTATATAAACTGAGATGCTTGCTTGATTCAGAATTCAATTCTGTATAACCCTTGTTCTGTAGCTTTTTTCGTTTGGATGAATACTTCACGATCTACAGAAACTGGAAAATCACTATTTCACATATTGAACATGTATTTCTCATATTGCAATATGAAACTGAAAGTGGTTCTCCTACCTCAAGAGGCTGTCAGAACTGTATGTTAAATAACGTATACAGAAATTCACTTCTTCATTGATAATTATCAAAGATAAAAACTTTGACTCTTACCTTCTTGGTCCTTTAACAGATCACATTGTTACTGAACTCTAGTAAAACTAAATATACAACATTTCACACTCATAAAAACTCAAACATACCGACACTCAACGGTAATTTAATTAATAGTACCATTGATACAGTAACATTATGTACATTGTAATCAAAATACCTTCAAAAGGAACTGCCACAAGCATACTCACAATACTAGGGAAAAAAACTTTCAGATACCCTTCAGGCACCTGGAATTATCCAAAAAATCACCAAATACTTTTAGTATTTAGTTTGTTCCTGTACAATTCACTTCTAGTCCAGGCAGATTGTGTTTTTTGCGGAAAGTTTTGCAAGAGTTTTGAAAATTGATTCTAAATAGTATTTTGGGCTCCTGAACACGAATCTGAGGTTTGCCAACAAAAATAATTGTGAAAAAAGTCGACTTAGTTTTGGTTTTTTGCGAATAACTCGAAAACTACGCAATTCGTGTAGAGAGGTTACCTATACAGAAAGATAGAGAATAAAATTTCCTACATTTTATGTTCATATTTTTTTTTCTACGGTCAACCGTTAGGCCACGTGAAAACGCTAAAAGGGGGGAAACCCCCCCAAAATTCCTAAAATCGGGATTTTTGGCGATTTGTCGCGGGGAACGCCTTTGCTAACCTCAAAGTCGAAGAGTTTGCCAACACATATTTTAAAGCTAAAACAAAAAAATGTTTTTGTCGATCTGTGTCCTTATACAACAAAAGAAGTTAGTAGCAATTTAGCTTTAA